ACAATGCCTGGCTTCTTTCTTTATTCCTGCTCATTGCCAAGAAATGACAGTTGAACAATTAAGGCACAAAGCAGAGAGGATTTAGCAAATCGAGAACCGTTTTTAATTTGCCTCATTAAGCTGCTGTTAACTACTTAAAGCCATCTGCTTAAAAATAATTTACAAATCTTAAGTTTGCTCTAGAGAGCAGGTAGACCTTCATTAGAACAGGTTTTGTTATCAGTGTTATCCTTGGGGGGCTTTCAGTTGTTGTGGAAAATACTTCATTGCTCACTGAACCAAACTTTCCCTGTAAACAAAAGGAAGTGACACATTTTTGTAACTTGCAGTCTGCTGCCATAACCATATTTTTGGAAACCCCTCCTGTTCATTTAGAAACTGGCTTGCTGTGGAGGAAGTTATGTTCAGCCATTAGGTAGATCTGGGTATGAGGAAGGAGAACAAGCTATGTATGTGGCTAGCATCCCTGTTACAGGCTACCATCCCCAAAAACTTAGTCCTGGAGAGAAGGAACAAACGCATCTGTCACAGTGCCTCAGCTGTACTGAGAAGGGGGAGCCCTGCTGCCTATACCCTAAAGAAAAGCAGGTTTGTCTTCCTAGATTTGTAAAGAAACAGTTTCACCTACAGAAAACAAATCAGCAGAGTGCCACAGGCTCTCCCTCCTATCTCAGGCTGAGATTCATTGCCATTTCAGTGAAGCACTTTGCACACTTCCTTCTGACCTGCTGTGTATTTCTGTGCTTGGCTGTGAAGTAATTGTCCTGGCTCTCATCAGAGGAGACACTTGCAGAAGAGAGATAATGGATTGCTGATACAAGTAAGATCATTTGGAATGAGACTAGCTTTAGAAATACTGGACAGTGATGGTGTGAGAATTTAAAAGAAGGTCCTCCACTCAATCTGTGGGAAAGAGGTGGATGTGATTTTTGCAATATTAGCTGAGTCACAATATTTGACTAAATATAGATCTTTTATCAATAAATTAAAAACTCCTGAAAAATACTGCTAGGAAATTTTTTTTTTTTTCAGTTGTGTGCTGTTTCTTAAGAAAAAAATCAGTATTTAACAGGATATAAATCTTTCAAAGTATTTGAGCAAAAATGTTACCATGAACTGAAATATCATTGTCTTTCTGTTAAGATTTTATTTGAATCTTTCTGTGAAGGAGGAAGCCTACAAATAAACTGACTGCACAGGTTTACACACAATGTGCTTTCAAGTGTGTGACAAACCAGAAACAACACAGAGCTTTTTGCAGTTTCTTTTGGTTGCAGTAGTTGAAGGTGTTCTTTGCAACTGCAGCCACTTTAGTTTAAAATAAGGAATCTTTGACTGGAATCCTTTTATGTTTGCCCAGGCATCTTGAGGCTGCATTTGAGAAAATGGAGAATTAAGAAAATACCTTCATTTGTCTTGATTGGAAGGAATGAATGTTCTAAAAATGTATACATGTCATTGAACAGAATTTGTTGCTTCTGCCATTTTTGATATGCCTTCATACTTCTGTTCTCTTTGCTAAATTTGTCTTATTCTGGAAAGAATTTTACTTTAGGATTTCATCGTGAAACATTTTGTCACAGTAAAACCTGTAAATGGCATAGAGCTGTTTAAATAATTTCTGTAGATCAACAATGTGAAAAATTAATTTTAAAATTTGCAATATACTTATAAACATTTTAAACATAAAACTTAGTTTCACAGCTATCTGCTGAAGAGTACCCAGTACCAAGACGCTATTGTACACTCAGTTATTCAAATCATGAGTTGTTCCTTTTTAGTGCTGTGGATTGACATGCAAGGTTAGGGCTGATTGAAAAACTTCAAAATATTTTATGTGCAAAAGGTTTTTATGAGCAAAACATTTTGAGCTGAGCTAAATCTCTGGATCCATCTGAGCTGTAGCTCAAATAGCAGGAGAAAGTGATAACCACTGTGGGTCTTCTGATAGTAAGTTTGGGTGGGCAGCTTTGTTTATAGGAATGATATGTGATGACCCAGATCTACAGTTTTCACCAGCTATATATTTGCTAAGGAATCTTGAAATATTATTTCATTAGCATTTCCACTGTAGGCAAGAGCAAGTTGTCGAAGTTGCACAATCTGTCACAGTAAGTGTTTTAATTTTCAGTCAATTCTAGTTATAGTCCTTACACAAACTGCAGCAAATTCTGCTTCAGCAAAACCTTCTGACAATAGCAGAAGACCTGAAGATGATCTTGCCAGGGTGCAGTTAATGGAGCTGTAGAAGCTGGAAAACTTGCTGTGCTTAAACCTTAGTTTGGCTGCTGCAGTGGCCTCCTTTTCACTTCCACCCTCTTTCAGCTGTGTTTTGCAGATGGGGAGGGGTCAGGGAAATAAAACCAGCTGCATCTCAGTGTACCCAGCTCCTGTAAAATGTTGCTTCTCTTCTCTGTGAAAGATATGTCTGTCATGTCTTATCATGTGTGATCACCAAAAATATTTCATCTGTCCCCTTCCTTCATGAAGAGAAGGAACAGAATGTTTGCCCTTTCTGATATGTCTACTCTCTGGTCCAACTGTTAATGGCATCAGCTGAAGAGTGGAGGAGCCCACTGTTTAATGAAGGAGGAGCATTGAAACCTCATAGTAGTTGAGAGCTGGAATGACTCGTGCAAAAAGGGCATAAGGAAAATGCTACTGCTGGGAGCTGCAAGGCCCTTAGAAGCTCTTAGCCCATACCACGTTTGCTGCTCGCTTGCTGAGTGGGAGGACGATCTGTATCTGGGAGGCTTGCACAGCTCTCTTCTCTGAATGTGTGAAGAAGGTGCAAAAAAGGCAGTCTAGGGGATAGCTCGAAGTTCTGTGTGCCCCAGTGCTACTGCTTCAGGTGTTCCCTGTACTTTTATCTAAGATGAGAAGCAACGGGGAGGAATAGAAGGGCTGCTGACAGGAGAGAAAAACAGTTCTCAGATGACTGCCTGAAGAAGATGATGTGAAACAGCGTGTTTCTGATGGTTTACTTTGAAAACTCAGCTGAAATGTGGATTTCTCTGGTTAGGAAATAAACCTTTTCCACTCATCTTCCTGCTCCTCTCCTGCCCTGAACCCAGCTGGGGCTGCTAC